TAACACTCAGGCTGGCGATCATGGCTCTCTGCAGCCTTGACCTTCCAGGATCAAGCAACCCTCCCAACTCAGCCTCCTGAGTAGCTGGGACTAAGCTGCACACCATCATGCCTGGCCCAAAATTATTATTATTATTATTATTATTTTTTGGAGACAGAGTTTCACTTTATCACCCAGGCTGGAGTGTAGTGGCACAATCTCAGCTCACTGCGGCCTCAACCTCCCTCAGTTCAAGCAATCCTCCAGCCTTACCCTCCCGAGTAGCTGGGACTACAGACTACAGGCACATACCACCACGCGTGGCTAATTTTTGTATTTTTTGTAGAGATGGGGTTTCACCATGTTGCCCAGGCTGGTCTCAAACTCCTGGGCTCAAGCAATCCTCCCACCTCAGCCTCCCAAAGTGCAAGGATTACAGGCATGAGCCACCACGCCCGGACCCCAAATTCTTTCAAAGACCTTCAAGGCCCTAGAAAGTCGAGCCCCTCCGTCTTTCTACCCTCACCTGCTATTAGGCTCCTCCTCATACTCTAGTCTAGTCTCCTCACTATTTCCTTAATAGACCACGAATGTTCTTACCTCAAGGCCTTTGCATTTGATGTTTCCTCTGCCTAGTAGCTTTCTCTCCCCAAATAGCTCTTTCCCTTACCCTCTTCAGATCTTTGCTCGAATATCACTTTCTCATCAGGCCTGCTCTGACCACCCTATTTTAAATCACAACCCCACCCTCACTCCTCACTTTCCCAGGTTTATTTTTCTCCATAGCACTTATCGCCATCTGGCACTCTACTTTCCTTTTTTAATGCCTGTCTCTCTGCACCAAGAATAGTGCCTGACAGGTAGCAGCGACTCAGTAAATTATTAGACGAAGGATTATACAAAGGAATGCAGGAAGAATCCAGGTTCAGGAACCAAAGAGAACTGACTCAAACTACACAGTTTTCCAATCTTGTGAAAACTGAAATTTGAAAGACTTAGAACAGCTCTGGCCGTGACCTGAAATGTGTGCAAAGGATACGACTTTCGATAATGTCTGTCAATATCCTGCAACCATTCCAACATGTCAGCCACAGAGGGGCTCACTGCTGAAGGCTGCAGGACAGCATCAATGCCAACTGTGTCTGCGTGCTGCTCATAGATCTGAAACACACGCTCCACATGGCTGCTGACCACGTCTCGCACCTTGAGGAGGATGGCTCTGCAAGAAACAGTCTGACGTTAGGCAATATCATGAGACAGGTATAAAGGAAGGTTTCTCAATTTTGGCACTACTGATATTTTGGACATGATTCTCTGTTGTGAAGGGCTGCCCTGTACATTGTAGGACGTTTAGGAGCATGCCTGGCCTCTACCCACTAAACGACAGGAGTAAACCACACCTATACCCTTCATAAGCCATAACAACCAATAATGCCTCTAGATGATGCCAAATGTCCCCTCATAGAAAAACCATCTCCAGTCGAGACCACTGGTCTAAGGAGATTAGTGACAGTGCCTTGGATGTAGGGGTGGCTCAAGACTCAAGAAAGGGGCTGGGTGCAGCGGCTTGTTGCCTGTAATCCCAGCACTCTGGGAGGCTGAGGCAGGTGGATCACCTGAGGTCAGGAGTTTGAGACCAGCCAATGTCCCAAAACCCTGCCTCTACTAAAAATACAAAAATTAGCCAGGTGTGGTGGTGCATACCTGCAGACCCAGCTACTTGGGAGGCACGAGAATCATTTGAACCCAGAGGCAGAGGTTGCAGTGAGCCAAGAATGCATCACTGCACTCCAGCCTGGGCGACACAGCTAGAGGCTACAGTAAGCTATGATCATACCACCGCACTTCAGCCTGGGCAACAGAGTGAAATTATCTCTAAAAATAAAATAAAAATAAATAAAAGACAAAAT